TCCAATGTACGAGGACATTGTCCACTTGTTTTGCAATAACAGCTGGGTTTGATTTATGTCACGTTTGAGATTAGAAACTGAACCCCGAGGACAGATGCACATCTCAACTTGTTTGTACAACTTTTAGTAGGATTATCATAGCTGTGCTTCATCTAAGACCCTCTCCAAATCAACTAGGAATGATGTCACAATGTGGTCAATATTTAAAGCTCCATATTTTCTTCTTCTTCTGTGTTTTATTTGAAGTGTTGATCCATCAGAAGATATAAAAACCATCTCAGTGTAGTTTTACATCTCCTCTCTCAGGCTTCTCTCTGGAGCTCTAGTAACAACAGGTCGGTGAGCCAATCAGAAGAGAGGAGGCTCTGAGCCTCCTCTCTTCTGATTGGCTGACTGTTTTCTGAGTGATCCAATAAAAATATAGCAGATTTCAGGTAAAAACAATCAGAGAAACCAAATCCTGCAAGGTTTGGATGGTGGGTCCAGGTGGGCGGGGCTTGGTGACTGCTTTGTTGTGACATCACAAAGTTCCAGAAGTCCTGACGGCTGGTTTTAAGGCTCAGTTTCTGAATACAGGCTGTGTGCATTTCTGTTTCTAGTGTTAGATCATTCGCTTATTTCTAAAGGATAAACATCGTTCCCAAAACTTGTTCTTACTAATAGTTTATAGCTGCTGTACGAATGAATTATGTGATGATGTGTAAATTAAGTGTTTATTAATGTTCAGTATTTGTTCTATACATTTGATATTCTTCCAGCTGTCTAAAATACAGACACTGAAGATGAACTCTGTGTGTCACTGTGAGTTAGAACAGCTTTTGGTTTTTGTCAGAGCTCCTGTCTGAGATTTACAGAGGGAAATAGTGGCACTCGCTGGGGACTATTTTTAGCAGCGGATTAATCCACATTTGGTGCTGTAGTGAGTATTTGTGGCACCAGGACTGTGTGTGTGTGTGTGCGTGTGTGTGTGTTGATAGTGATGAAGCAACATGTGTGTGACTCACTGATGTGTTTTAATATTTTGTGTTAACAGTGCAGCTCAGAGGAAGAAGACGTATCAGGCTGTGATGCACAATATCCTCAGACTTATCCTTAACTCCACAGTATCTTCAGATTCTTCTGTGTGTGTGTGTGTGTGTGAGTGTGTGTGTGTGTGTGTGTGTGTGTGTGTGCGCACGCAGCAGGTCTGGACACAATCTGTAGTTGTTTACTATCTAGTGATTCATCTCCCCAGACATAGAGCATCTTTGGCTGCCGGTCACACATCAAAGCAGAGCCAAAATGATGCAGTGGGACGACGTTGGCTAAAACGAGCCGCCGGGGATTCAAACCAGCAGCGTTGCGACAGCACGGACACGACCGTAAACACGCCATAAACACGCTAAGGCCACGTCACGCTAAGACGTGACGGACGGGGAGGACAGGAGCGAGCGAAAGTTAGGAAAGAGCCAAAGCAGACAGGATTAGAGGAAGAATAAACAGAGAGGAGGTGAGCTGATGCCAAGAAAAAGATGAGAGAAGAAGAGAGAAAAGATGAAAAGAGCAGACGGAGGAGAAAAATGAGGGTTAGAGAAAAGAAAACAGAGAAAGGAAACGTGCTAATTGTGGTTTATTTTCATATCAGACGGACGCTTTCGTCTTTCTGCTGCTGTGATTCGCTGTTTCCTCGCTGTTGTCTCTGAGGTCAGTGAACCCCCAACCCCTGAGCTCGTCGAATGAGTTGCTAGTTTGAATCCCCAGACAGAGCTGGCCACCAGAATAGATCCAACAATGACCGGTTTATTCTGTCTGCCAGAGGAGGGAAGGGTAGATCGAGGTTAGAGAGAGAGAGATGAAAGTGGATTGTGGAATGTCGCTAATGATGTGTTCAATTAAGTTCAATTAGCCTAATTGTCCTCTGTGTGTGGGGAGAGACGGGGGGGGGTGTAAACAGGGACGGAGGAGAGGAATTTAAACAGAGCGGCCTGATGGATGGAGAGAGCGCGACAGACAGATAGATATTGTGCCCGAGCTGCTAAACGGAGGTTGACACTTCGCCTCCGCCAAGAATCCAGTCGTCCCCTTCGCTCCTTTACTCGCCATCTCTGTTGCCCAAAATAATTACTGAGGTCCCTGAATGCATCAGTTATTCCTAACAAAGCACAGGACTGGCGGGGTGCAAAGTATTCTCACGGCGGGTCGCGTTCCATCTCAGGAAAACAACAAGGTTTTTTTATCGAGTCTTTCTCTTAACTTTGCAGCTGTTCGCTCACAGACACTTCAGCCTCTTTTAGCTCCTGCTTTTGTTTTGGTTTTTTTGTACAAAAAACTACAGCACAACTATCACAACAACAGATTCCCAAAAAACAACCACCGGTTTACTTCCTGTTTCCTCCCAACAGTCAGCGCTGGTTACGAAGTGTTGAGGTGAGAGAACACGCCTCTGATCCAGATTCAGACTCTCAGGCAGAGCAGTTCTGTGTCACAGACGATCAGCACTTGGGTCAGTACAAGGAACAACAAGCCGCAATAAGAAGAATAAATAGGATTAAAACAAGTAAAATAGATGTTACAGTTTCTATTGGAAACAAATAATATGAATACATAAAAGTTAGATTTAAATATATCGCCATCTCGATATATTGAAGGAGTTCTTCCAAGTTAGAAAAGCAGATCTCCCGACGTCTCCTCAGAAAGATTCGGTCAAATCTGGGCTCTGAAACTTTCCTGCTACGTTTTCTGTTTGTTTGAGAATCTAAATATAGAAAATCATGACTTCTGATTGGCTGGTGGCCACTAGAAGCAGGACCAGGTCGTCAAAAACCCTGCAGAGTCCCAGCAAGAACTGGGTAAGGATTCTTTCCTGTAGGACCCCGGACCGCCGGGTCAGTTCGACGAGCTGTGTGGACGGTTCGTCGATGGTGGTCGTCAGTCAGAGTTATAAGGACATCAACGTTGATGTTTCTACCACTGGAACTTCTCGAGAGTCGCTTGACGAGCAGAGTCTGCAGCTGCTACTAGGTCTACAGGTGGAGCAGCGTTGCAGCAACCTGACAGACAAAACTCAGGGTCTTAAATCTTAGCCAGTGTCTCAGTTTCTGGAGGGTTCTGGAGATCCGGTCCAGATGTAAATGGAGGTCTGAACAGTATTTGCAGGTGTTGTTGAGGAGTCACTGAGGCCTGGTTCTACTGGTCGGTTTAATGATGCTCTGATTGGTTTTGGTGGGTGTGTTGGCGGGAAGAGGAAAGTAGGGGGTTAAAGGAAAGAATCCTTACCCAGTTCTTGCTGGGACTCTGCAGGGTTTTTGACGACCTGGTCCTGCTTCTAGTGGCCACCAGCCAATCAGAAGTCATGATTTTCTATATTTAGATTCTCAAACAAACAGAAAACGTAGCAGGAAAGTTTCAGAGCCCAGATTTGACCGAATCTTTCTGAGGAGACGTCGGGAGATCTGCTTTTCTAACAAACTCAGAGTTGTGCTGCTCTCAGCCCGTCTGCACAGACCCACTTCATAAAAATCTTTTCCATCTGCTGTTCCAGACTCTCGCCTACAGAAACTCAAACTGCAGCAACAGAAAATCCAGAGGAGGAAGAGGACGACGTCACAGTCCCGCCCACACGGCCTGACTGACAGGTGAGCTTTTGGTCCCACAGAAAAAATTAAAATAATTCAGAGACGAATCTAATTCACTGCAGAGTTTAGTGGCTTGATGGTTTTTACCTCCCACAGGGAGCAGCAAAACCCGTTAACTGTGAATCAGTAACTTTTAATTATCCAAAGAAAAATCTGACGTATTCATTAGATTTCCTCTTTGTTTTCCGCTGGAAACTGTCAAACTTTCCCGCTCTTAAATATATCGCCACATTTAATTGATTGATGAATTGATTAGAAAATAGAGATAACATCTCTGCAGTAAATTTTAAGTTGGTTTAAACCAGCAGCTTCCAGAAGAACTGATGGATGGTTCTGGAAGATGATCGGCAGCAGCTGATGGTTAAACACTAGACACATCACCAACTGGAGATATGAGGTTTTTTTAGGCACTTTGCCGACAGCAGACCTCACAAGTGTGTGTGCCGTGACCGAGCAGTGACCTGGATTTAAAGGTGGGGCCGGACCTGCTGGAGGTCAAAGGTGACGCCTGACCTCAGCCTGCCGCAGTGCCACTGAGGGGGGGGGGGTTTACTTCCTCCTTTCTTTCTTTCTCCCTCTCTGACTCTCTGTCGCTACCGTCTGTCAGGAGAGCGTTCCAGCACTCTTACCGCTTTAAGACACACACACAGGCACACACAGGCACACACAGGCACACACACACACACACACACACACACAGACGCACACACGCACACACAGACGCACACACACACACACACACACACACACACAGGCGGCGACACACGAATCTCCTCTGACTTTAAGTAGATAATGAGGTATTCTTTGAAAACAGCAGGAGGCGATTACAGAGGTGTGTGTGTGTGTGTGTGTGTGTGTGTGTGTGTGTGTGTGTGTGTGTGTGTGTGTGCGTGCGTGCGTGCCTGTGTGTGTGTGTGTGCCTGTGCCTGTATGTGTGTGTGTGTGTGTGTGCACGTATCTGACGGGTTCAACTGAGTGAGTACGCAGGTGGAATTAAGCAGGTGGACACAGTGATCATTTTCAACAAGCTGCATTTTTGTCTCTTCACACACACACACACACACACACACACACACAGGCACACAGCTGTAACACATGCAAATATGTGCTTACACACAAAGTACTTGGCTGCTTTCCACACACACACACACACACACACACTCTCTCTCACACAGGTATCTATTACACATTCCTTGACACGGCTAACACACATACAAATGTAAATTTACTCATTTTACTGTCGAACTGCTGCTGCACACACACACACACACACACACACACTCACACTCACACACACACACACACACACATACACACACTCACACACACACATACACACACTCACACCACGGCGCTGAAACACTCAGTGTAGCAGTTTTTACTCACCAGCCTCGGCGAAGGTGATAATCTCCGTCGTCTCCTGTGCATCGCTGCCGTCTCCCATCCGAGTTGCCGCCGCCGTCGCTGCTGCTCCTCCCCCTCCTCCTCCCCGGCCTCCCCGCCCTCGTGCCTCCTCCTCCCCCTCGATCTGCACGCTGCCGTCCTCCGCCACTCGCCCCACGTGGAGCTTGCGCAGGGCATTGAGGAGCGCGGCGCGCGGCACTGGCCGGGTGATGTTGGGCCGCGCCTGGAGATGCAGCATGTTGAGGATGTGCCTCTTCACCGCCTCCACCACATCCTGCTGAGCCGCCTCCTCTTCCTCCCGCTCATGCCCCGCCGCGTTGTCCGCCGCCGTGCCCTCCTCGTTTCTCCTCATCCTGGCCAGGGCGCAGGAGGGGCAGTGGGAGCCGGAGGCGGCGTCCGGCAGCGGCTGGTGGTGAGGATGGACGCTCAGAGACGGCGGCGGAGGCTGGAGTTTGGACACCGGATCCGAGGACGAGCTGCAGCTCTGGACCAGGATCAGGACGGTCCAGCTGAGCAGAGGTAAGACGGACATGACGGCAGGAGACGCCTGATTGGCTGCTGGGCTGGATTTGGTGATGCTGCCGGATGCAGATGCACAGATGGAGCCGGAAAAGATGAAGAAAAGTTGAGTTTTGGCCAAAAGTGCGTGAAGAAAAATTCAGCCCTGGATGAAGGAAGAGAAAAGTCTTCCCTCCTTCCTTCCTCTGCTCTCTGTCCTTCTCTCTGTCTTTGTCTCTTCTCTCGTTCTCTCAGAAGTTCTCAGAAGCAGCAAAGTTCAGCTCAGCTCACAGTCCACCTGCGAAAACGGAGGGAAAAAAAGCTGTAAAGAAACGAGAGAGAGAGAGGAGGGCAAAAAAGAAGAAGAAGAAGAAAAAAAAAACAACGCCGTGAGAGAAAATGAGTAATCCTTATCTTTTTTGTCAGGGACAGATGGCTGGAAAATGTGGAGGCGTCACAAGAAAGAAAGAAAGAAAAAGAAAAAAACAACAAAACAAGAAGAAGGAGAAGAGGGAAAAACTCTGATGTGATGAATGGATGATGAAAAAGCAGAGAAGGAAAAACTCTGGAGTGCAGGAGGATCCTTGTTCCCGGGGTGAAGTCTCTGCAGAGTGTGTGTTCAGAGTGTGTGTGTGTTAGAGAGGCAGTTTGACTAAGTTATCCCAGACGAAGGGAGTTCCTCTCTCGCTCTTTTTACCTCTTTTCCTCTCTCTCTCTCTCAGTGTTGAATGCATTCCCTCGCTCACCAGTTGAATGGTTTTACCGGAGTGGGCTGGACTCTCTCTCTCCTCGCTCTCGTCTTTCTTTCCCTCCCTCTGCTTCTCTCTCCTCTCTCTCGCCCTGGCAGCCTCCTACCGTAATTATACCACCCTCCCTCCTCCCTCCATCCCTCTCTCTCTCTCTCTCTCTCTCTCTCTTCCACTCCAGTCTCCTCCCATCTCGCTCCATGACTCATAACACAACTTTTACCTTCACCCTCCTCCCTCCTTCTCTCTCTCTCTCTCTCTCTTCTTTATTTATTTCTCCCCTCCCTGCCTGCCTCCCTCTGTTTGGCTGTTAATGGAGCAAAGCTGGGATTCCTTTATCCCTCCCTCCTCCCTCCCTCCCTCCCTCCCACAGTCGGCTGTGAATGAGTTACGTGTTGAGGGGGAACATCTTGGATGACTTGGTCTTCGCCTGTGACTCTCCTGTCCATCCGTCTAACAGTCAGTCAGTCAGTCAGTCTGGATGTGTTTAGTCTGGTTGCTGTTCAACATGACGTCATGGGTCATGACTGTGCGATCTCGCCTTGTGGCGTGGCGGGTGATGCGGCGACAGCGTTTGGTCAGATTGGTTAGGAGGATTCCTCCAGCTCGTTGTCCTCTTCTTCTTCTTCTTCTTCTTCTTCTTCTTCTACTTCTTCTTCTTTGTCTTTTTCCAGCTCATCTTTGATAAAACACTCAAATGTGAAGGTTTGGACACTCGCATGTTCCACGTCCGTGATCGGTCAGATGAAACATTCAGCTTCTCTGTCCTTGGCCTTTCTGATGAGTCGATGGCGTTCCTGGGCTTTACTCTCCATCCTCTGAGACATCAGCTCCTCTGCAGCAGCTCGTATCAGGAGATGAAAGCTCTTGTGGCTTTAAGTTAAACGCTTACGTCCAGAATAAAAACTATGTAAGTGCGTAGAGCTGCAGCGATTAGTCCGTTAGTCGATCGAGGGAAAAGTCATCGGCTATTTTGATGATTTCATCAAACATTTGCTGGTTGTTGCTTCTCAAATATGAGGATTCAATGCTTTTCTTTGTCATATCTCATTGTGCACTGGATGACTTTAGATTTTAGACATTTACGTCACCTTGGGCTGAACCTGACCTGGCTGGGTACTGTTCCAGCTCCACCAGCTTAACTCCCTCCATCAAATGCTGTGTGTCCTCGAGCTCAGGCACATCAGTGTCCAGCGACACCAGCCAACAGAAATGAGTATTGTTATTGCAACAAATGGTTGAGGCCTTCCTCAGCCCTCAGACTTTGGTCAGAGACTGTATCATGTTATCACCACCACTGAAGAAGACCAACAGCTTTGGGGAAAACCCTTCATCTGTCCGTCTCCCGTTGGTTTGTCTTGACGAATCCCCAACCCCAAGAAAACCCCAACGGTTATAAACAGCTTCTCTAGAAGTTTAATACCACCCGACTTCATTTCCCATCAACCCACTCATTCCTCCTGGATACGGTACGCAGCGCACCACTGACGGAGTTTGTCATTGTGGTTGGTTTTATTGAGAAATCAGCCTCAGGAAAATTAGAAGAACTTACAGATACGTGCTCAGCTGCACTGCTGCACTTCATTTCATTCTTCAGGTAATCCAAGGACAGGTGAGGAAGTCTTTCAAAGCTTTTCCAACTGATTTAAAGGGACTCTTGAGGGTTTTAAGGGTTTTTAAGGGTGTTCTAGCAAAGTTCCCATCAGTAAAGTGGTTCTAAAATGATTCAGTGATCCAAAGGAACCGGCAAACAGAATCTTAGAAGTGAAACTCAGGAATTCCCAAGGGTCTGAAGGGTTTTACGTGGGTTCTTACAGATGTTCTCATGGGTTCTTACAGTTCTCCTCATGGGTTTTTACAGATGTTCTCATGGGTTCTTACAGGTGTTCTCATGGCTTCTTACAGATGTTCTCATGGGTTCTTACAGTTCTCCTCATGGGTTCTTACAGATGTTCTCATGGGTTCTTACAGTTCTCCTCATGGGTTCTTACAGGTGTTCTCATGGGTTCTTGCAGATGTTCTCATGGGATTCTAAAAGGGCTCCGCAAGGCAAGATCTGAAGAGATGCTGAAAAGACTCAGAGGAGTTTTAAAGGGTTCTGGGTATCACAGGGAGGTTTACAGGTTCTGAAGAGGGTGTGGTGTGAGGTTCTACAGGTTTAGAATGTGTTGTCGGGGTTCTAGTGACTTCAAAGGGGAACATAAGTTGTTTGTTATTTGCAAATGATTTCAAGAGGGTTTTAAAGGCGAAACCAAGTGGTTCTACGTTGGATTATAAGAAGATGTAATGGGTTCTAAGAGGAGTATAATGGGTTTCTAATGTTTTGAGATGGTTCTAGAGGGAACCCTGTTTTCTAGGGACAATCCATGACACTATAATATAACTGTTAAACTCTGGTGTAGTTGTTTGTTCGGGGTTCTTCCTCTCTCTCTCTCCCATTGCATCATGCTGTCTCTCAGCCCCCTCCCTCTCTCTCCAACATGTGGTCCGATAACACAGAGAACCCAGAGGAACGGAGTCAGATCTGACTGTAGAGGAAGCGGAGAAGACGTAGAGTTACACACCGAATCAGACGTCTGGGATTCACCCTCTGCTGTTGTGACGTCATCACTGCGGGGGGAAAGTGTGTGTGTGTGTGTGTGTGTGTGTGTGTGTGTGTGTGACTCGTCAGTTGTCTGCTTGTCTACAAGTTTAAAAAAGAAAAAACCCCTCCAGCTCATGCCTGTGTGAGCTCACCGCTTGCTGAGTTGCCTTATTAAGGCGTTGCGGTGTGTATTATGGAAATTAACTTGTCTGCACTGGTGGCTTCTTTAAATAACTCACAACCTGTGAGTCATGAACCTGTCGTAACGCCGGCAGCACCACTGATGCACTTTGTTTTTAAAGTCGCCTCCGGGGCCCAAAAAGAAAAAAAACCCACATCCAGAATTCATTGAACTTGTCTGGAGAAGTACCAGCGCTGGGTTTAATGAAGCTCTTCAACCCTGCCGCTGCGTTATCACGTCCTCGGTTGTTCAGAGCCACAGAACCGTGATTTAGAGTTGGAGCGGAGATCCCAGAGTTTCTGAACGTCAGGGCTGAATGTGAGAGAGACGTGTCTGATGCAGCCGCTGCAAACATGTCGTGTTGAGTTTGAATGTTTGACGCTTCAGTGAAACATTATAGAAGTGTTACAGAGTCTAAACTCCCACAGCTGTCTACTTCACTGAAGCAGAAAGAAGAATCTGAGCCTGCTCAAAGATAACGTTTGTTCTACCTTAACAAATATTGAAGGGGAACATCTGACTGTGGGAGTTTGGGGTGTCAAGGGAGGGAAATCAAACACGCCTCAGCTTGTTAAAGTGCATACAACCCGGCGTGGTGTGTGTTTGGTTTGGTGGTCGGTGACTCGGCGTCGCTCCTTGACTTCACTCTTCTTCTCCTGTGTGCTGATGGTGAAGCTGCTCCAGGGTTCAGGAGCTGAATGCAGATTGAACTGCTCCATCTAGTGGACGTCGGCCGTCATCTCCCCGTGTGACCTCAAAGTACCTTCATCTTTACCTTCCCTCCCTCAGTCTGCAGTCGTCTTTCTTTGTCTTTCGTTTAGCTGTTCTCTCTTTCCTTCACTCGCTCCATCATTCCTGCTTCATCTCTTTTGTTTCAGTTGTTATCGACTCTTCCTGTCTCCATTTCCTCTTCCTTTCCTTCTGTCTTTCTAAATTTCATTAGCTTTCTTTGTTGTTGTAGACATCCCATCTCTCTCTCTCTCTCTCTCTGTCTCTGTCTCTCTCTCTCTCTCTCTCTCTCTCTGAATGATGTCTTCCTCCTCCTCCTCCTCCTCCTCTTCTGCTCTCTCTGCAGCTTTATGAACCACTGTGGAGGTGCAGACTAATTTACTGCCCTGCTGCATCAGGACACGTACACACACACACACACACTCACACACCCACACACACACACACACACACACACACACACTTACAGTCTTATTGGTCATGATGGGGTCTTGCAGCTGTGTGTGTGTGATGGATGGTGTTGCTCTGACCTCTCACAGTGGGAGATTTGAAAGAGAGATACTGCTGTAAGGCATCTCTCTCTCTCTCTCTCTCTCTCTCTCTCCCCCTCATGATGAAGGGAGGAAGAGGAGGTTTGTCACAATACCTTCTGAACAAAGGAGGGATGATGAAAGGAGGAAAGTGGAAGGAACGATTGAGGAAGAGAGAAAAGCAGAGATAGAGATGGAGGGATGGAAGGATGACCACAGTAAGAAGTAAAATACGACACAGATTCCCTGAAGTGAATTTGTCGGGTTTTACATTTATGTATATTTATTCATATTTCAGTTTTTTCTTTTTGAATAAATTTGCAGAAATCTCTTCATGACCACCTCACACACCCCCACGTCCAGTAACCCCAC